TATCTTTCTTTAAACTATATACTTTCCACGAACTGCTCTTAGTGAAGTTACATTCCACTTCTACACCACTATAATCTTGCAACAGAGCTCTATAGCTATATGTATTATTACTTGTGCTGTATTAAGAAGGCTACAGTCTACTTGTAACAATACTAACTACTTGAATTATTTGTCCAGTTGCATCATATTTATTGCTAGCTCTATAAAGTTTTTTTATATAGTCTTTATACAAAGTTTTATAAGTTTCTGTTATAAACCTGTTAATTGCACTATATTCTTTTATTGCTATAATTATATGATAGTACTAATTATGTAACTTAGGTAGTTTAAGTTGCAAAAGTGAATACTTTGTAAAAAGTTTTAAAAACAACTTTATCCAAATTGTAATCAGATTCTAAAAATAGATTAAATTATTTAATATATATAAATAATCATATGTTTATTAACTAATATATATATTGAAATTTGTACTTTAAGCTTTAAAAGATCTGATTCAAGAAAAAATTCTTTTTGACAAAATAAATATATTTTATTCTAATGATAATAAATATTAACTAGTGCACTATCATAATGCTTGGCAACACTTTTTTCTATTAATGCTTTGTAATATTTTTTAATTAAACCTTCAACAATAAACAGAAACACTTTCATCATATTATAATACTCATCAGTATAAACTGCTTAATATTTTTTAGACCTTTCTAAAAATTTCTAGTCATAGAAACCTTGGAATTCTTGATAAATATTGATTGAGTTTATTGATAGCAGCCTGTTCACGCAAGCAAGAAATCTGTGACAGGTTATGTCGATCATTTGGCCGGCGGCATATTTGTGTTACTGGTACATGCATATTCGTGTAACAATTAATTTTAAATAGATCACATTACTGTCGGGATAGATACATATATAATAATTCAACATAGAAGGACTTTGCGCGCTAAATAAATTAATTTACATAATTTGTAGTGTCATAATATGGTGTTGATTCCTCTATTCAATCATATCCAAGGAAAATGAAGGATTATTAATATTAAAACCAAAAGCATGGTATTAAATCTAAAGTAAGTGCATAATTGAGGAAAACAAAATATCACTCATTAAAACGTATTGTTCTTAAATTAAATATTATATTAAGGGATTAAAAAACAATTAATTTAAAATGCAATATTTGAAAGTAAAAGTGTAATAAGTATATGTGGCGAATATGAAAGTATAAGTTAAATAAGTATGACGAACATTATTTAAAGATAAATGGGGTCTTTGCCTTGAAAATCACCTTCCGACATTTCTGATTGGGTTAATTCGGACAAAAATACACTCGAGTACCGGTTCATGTTCATATATTAATCATCTTTTAACTTTATTGATTCAATAGTTTATCGAATAACTATTGAATAAATAAAAGTAAAAGATAATTAACATATGAACATGAACCGGTACTCGGGTGTATTTTTGTCCGAATTAACCCAATCGGAAATGTCGAAAGGTGATTTTCAAGGCAAAGATCCCAAATATTATATGAATGGATCAAGAGCGATTAATTTAAAGTACTATATATGAAAGTACAAGTATATGTGGTGAATATGAAAGCATAAGTTAAATAAGGATGTATGACGAACATTATGTAATAAATATTAATATGAAGAGATTAAAGAGCGATTAATTTAAAGTACTATGTGTAAAAGTATAAGTATAGTAAAATATATGTAGCAAATATGAAAGCATAGGTTAAAAAATGTGTATAGCGAAAACTATGTAATAAAATAAATATTATTATATGAAGAGATTAAAGAACGATTAATTTAAAGTAATATAGTAAAGTATAAGTTAAATAAATATGTAGTATAATAAGTTAAATCTGTGATGTACAAAGTATAATACGGTAAGTTAAATGTGTGTTACAAATATGACGTAATAATTAATATAATATAAAAGAAATAAAAAAAAGGTAGTCTTTCATTTGCTAAAAGTAGAAAAAAACAAACAAAGGGATAATCAAACGTGCATACCTGTAATACAAAACCCAAGAAACATTTACCAAGTGACGTTACAAACAGTAAAGGCGCGTCTTGATTTGGATTACACTTTGTAATATCAATAAATTGCCCTTTGAAGTTTACATATTAATAACTTGCTCTTTGAAGTATATATATTAATAAACTGTCCCTTGAAGTTTACGTATTAATAAACTGCCTCTTGAAGTTTACATATTAATAAACTGATCTTTGAAGTTTACATATTAATAAACTGCCCTTTAAAGTTTATATATTAATATTATTTAACCCTGTTGAATGCGTGATACAATGGAAAAACCAAATAGCATACCAAAGTCTTCAGAACTATTAGCAGGATCGTTACCAGAAAATGTTGCAACTATTCTTCCGCAAAATTATAATTACATGGTTTCTGAAATTCGACAACTTCCAAACTATATTACCCCAGAAGGGTTCTTAATTGATCAATTTGAAATAAATTTTTTTGTTAATGTTGATAATATTGAAGGTGCACGTCAATGGTTTTCTGAATATGAAGAAACATCAAAGACCACGATGCGTGAAACAAAATATTTCAAGTCCAAGGGAAAAAGGTTATTCTTCGTGAATTATGTCACTGTATTCACAGTAATAAAGTCAAAGAAAAACAGGGAAATCTACAATTAAAAAGGCCCTATTCACCATGTGTCAGAAATACAGAATGCATGGCAACGATTCATCTTCGGCTTGAGCGTTGGCGCATTCAAACTACTTATCCACTTGAGGTCAATATTAAATTTTTGCATAATCATGTCATCAATTCCGCTGAATCCCTTAGTTTTCGACCTGTCAAAGAGGAAGTTCGTAAAAAGTATCTTGAGCTTTTTACTAATGGGCATTCACCAGCAACAGCCCTACATACTTATGAGGATAGCATCTATTTTCGTGCAAGCAATGATCAGGAATTAATACAACTATTGGCTGACTGTGCGCAAAATCCTGATTATGGTTATGTCTTAAATCTGTTTAAACAATATCGTGATGAACATCTTGGAGCACGAAATGGCATAACAATGTTTCAGCATCTTAAATATGAGGTTGACAAATATAATGATTCAGGACAAGGTCGTGCAGCACTTCAAGAGTATGATTCACAATCAAAAAATGCATTCATTTTGTGTGTAGTTACCAATTTAATGAGCCGTGTTCATGAGAAGATCAGGCAAGCGGGTGAACTCTGTTACGTCGATGCATCTGCATCGTTTGAACGATTAAACACTTCAATTACCTTACTTTACACAAGTTGTATCACAGGTGCCTTACCTCTTGGACTTATTATAACATCAGATGAATTAGCAATAACTTTTGAAAAGGGGTTCAATCTTTTAAAACAACTTCTTCCACCGCATTCTTTTTTTGGTCGTGGACCTGATATTGGTCCTATGATTTTTCTTACGGATGATTCAAATGCTGAACGAACAGCATTAAAGAATTGTTGGCCACAGTCAAACCAATTATTGTGTGTGTTCCACATCCTTCAGGCATTTTGGCGTTGGCTACATAATCCTAAGCATAACATAAATAAAGAACACAGAACCCCTATAATGAAAATCATGCAAAAAATATTATACTCACAAACGGAAATTGAAATGGAAAAATTTTATAGTGAATTAAGGTCTATTTATTATACTACATATCCACAGTTGCATAGGCACTTTGAATTACTTTGGGTTCGGCGACCATTCTGGGCTTTATTATTTCGTTCTGGACTTCTTATACGAGGAAATCATACAAACAATTATATAGAGCGTAGCTTTAGATTATAGAAAGATGTTATCTTTGCACGAACACAAGCATACAATAGTGTCCAAGTATTCCATTTTATTATTACGAGCATGGAACGGTTCTATTAACATCGATTACTTGCACTTGCACATAGTCACCCTGGTCATCGTCAAATAGCTAAACGATTTTTATGCCCTGGTTGGGAATTGATTAATGCAGCAGAAATTCGGCAATCTGAAATAGAATCAGAGTATCTGGTTCCGAGTCAAGAAAATAGCACTGATTTATTTTATACTGTAAATGTTGAAATTTCTACATGCACCTGCTTTATTGGATTATCTGGAAGATCTTGTAAACACCAAGGTGCAGTAGCTGCCAAGTACCATATTGGATCACTGGATTTTTTTCAATCATTAATGCCTTATGATCGCGCAATTTTTGCATATATTGCATCTGGTAAGTAATTAACTATTTAACTTATTTAATTAATTATTGATTAATATTGATATAACGTATAGTAATAACATTTTAATTTTTAAGGGCTCATGTCAAATGATCATTCTTTTTACGCTTCACTACATGCCCGTACAAATAACAATAATTCTAAGGTTGCAAGAATAGTATGACATCGAATAATGTGCCTCAGAGCAATGATAAAACCCAGGAAACAGAAAGACCTGATGTTAATCCGACTGATCTAGAGTATATATTCTATATAATCAATTTTTTGTAATTCATCTAAAGCTTTCTAAAATAATTTATTCTTAGACCTAATTCTGCTTTTTTTGAATTGTTTCTTGAAACGATCAAACGGAATTACAAAAATTGTGGTCCGAATCTTCAGACTGCCCTTGAAAAATTCGCCGAACGATACAATGCGGCAAAAGCTAAATCTGTTCCAGCATTAGTGTCATTTCTTTATGACATTAATCGTGATATTGATCCATTTGCACGAGTAAAAAGTGGAACAAAAATTCGTGTGCAAGTTGAATCAGTGAAGCATCGAAGAACCAGTAATAATGATAAAGAAAACATTGATCAGCATATTATTCCTGCACGGAAAGTTAAAGCGAAAGGCAAAAAAGCACACAATATTAGTAAAAATGTTGATCTAAAT